ATGATTGCAATATAGATACTTGCATGCATCTAGTTTACATACATATAATTTTAACTTGCATTCAAGTTCCATGATTTAACAATGGGCAACGTTCACAATTCATCAGTTCGCTTGTTTTGCTTGACATGCGAAGGCCATTTCAATTTTCCCGCCAAGCATTGGCCCTCACACAGAAAACCCATCAATCAGGGGACCAGAAATAGCTCGTGCGTCAGTGCGTCAAAACATCTAGTACTTTATCATTTTTTTTCGCTTTTCTTCCAATAAAATGATTCCAAAAGCATATGTTAAATAACTCAGACGAAGATAGGCGTCAAGTTAAGTTTGTGCATAACATACCAGGTACGGCTCAAAAACCACCCCCTTTCAACGGTTCATTTTGATGAGTTGCACGAATAACCTATGTCCATCATTTTGAAATTGCTAGTCAAGTTCTTTCCAGGTATTGGCTACTTGTTGTACTGTCTTGCGTTCGGCAATGCGGTCGTTTTTCAGATTTTTCATATAAGGAAAATGAGCCGTGACTTCGAATATCCGTTCGCAATCTGTTTCCATCCATCAGTTTAAAGGTCGAATCTTACATAGCCTGCGTGCAGGCGTGCCTTCGCTCCGACCCCAACCAGGAACGCCTGCATACAGGCTAAATCTTACAGTATCTCCATTCATATAGTATAAAGGGATAATAAAGAGCAAGTTTTTGCTTATATTACGATGTATTTTTATTTTCAAACATGAGCAAAAGCTGGAAAGGGATGCTGGTGGACCATGTCCCTTTAAGGTTAATTTTCCGACAAGAACTTTTATAGTGGAGGGTGGTGTTTTCACGCAATACGATGTAAAGTATGTCATGTAACGTAGTGTTGTACTTCCCGCCCTTAGCGCGTTTTAGCAATACATTAAAAATAGACAGTCGATGACTGTATGTGACTCAGGATTTAGTTAACTTCGAGTTTGCTTCTTTACAAAATGGCAATTCTAAATTTAATGAAAGCTCCTTTTGAATGGTTAACGGTGATAGAAAGACCCACGATGCATTTCGCTCTTGGAATACGCTATCTTTAATTAGCTGTATAGCCTGCAAAGAACTAAAAGCATAAAGTTTTGATCAAGCATTACGTTGTCTATAAATACARACCAGGCGGCGATTCCCAGGGGCCAAGAAACCTATTGTTATGGTTGATGATTCCTCCCGTAGGGGCTTAACGCTGGGCGCCCTGTTTCCCTTCCTAATAAACATATCCGTCTGAAAGATTTGGGGCAAAGGAATCGGTTATAAATGGAGTCCTTAGAGCTTTAATGTAAATTCTCGAACGTTTTGTTCGATAAAATGTTTATATTATTTAAACTTTATTTTTACCTTGTTTTTTTAAAACAAGTAGTACTTAAAAGTACTCTTATTCGTTTTGAATTTAAAACCTAAAGATTGCTAATTTTTCTTCATTTCTTTATCAATTTTATACGGATTGTCATTTATCCTCTTCAATTGTTAACATTCACTACATTACGATTTAATAGTTATATAATCAATATTAATCCATTTGTTAACTTTTATATCATCAAGAARGAAAATGTCGAACGCTCGAGTGTAATGTTGGAGTTTCAAAGGTCTTCAATTGTGTGCGATCCCGGCAAATCTTTGGCAACATCTAGTTACCTGGTTCGATCCTGGTCTGTAAACTACTAACGTTAAGAATTTCAAGAGATTTTGTTGTGCTGTTTACTTGAATACTATAGTAATGTCTGTCTTATATGAGAACTGTACACATTTCCTGTGATGATTTGGAAAACAATAACGACAATTTAACAGCTCGGTAAAAGCCGCCACATTTCAGCGAGTACATCGGTATTTGGGCGTAAATAAGCACTCAGCAGCCATCCCCTCCCCTCCCCCATCAAATTATAAATCTACTGAAGGTTTAAAAATCCCTGTTTCTTTTGCTAATTCTTGAGCTGAGCTCTGATTGGCTCGCTGCTCCCTAAGGATTTTGGTGACGTCATATATTAGCATAGAASTTCACCGAATAGACTACCCCAATTAGATATTATATATATTAAGTGTCTTCATAGTACGATGGTCTAAGAGGGTAGCTAAAGGTATGCTCTAGTGGGCGGCTACCCCCTCACTCCCTGGCCTTTTGGTTAAGACTAAGTTTTATGTTCACTCGGGATAACGTGGAAGAGCCGAAATCTCTAACCGTAACGTAAGCCGATTCGACGCCTCAGCTTCATAGAATGTCTCGGGGGAATCGTCCCATCTTTTAAGTTTTTTTTATTTTCATTATTTTTATGTATTCCGGGGGGTGCATCTTTTCCTTAAGTGAAAGTCCTGAGTTCGAGCCCTGCTGCTGGGACTTCTCTTTTTTCTTGTTGAATGTTTCTTTTTCTTTTCTTCTTTCTATTTTTTCTTTTTCTTTTCTTCTTTTTTCTTTGCTTTTTTTTCCTCTCTCGAGATTTTCTCTTTTCAACTTAAACATATCAAGGACTCGCAAGGAACGCCTGCTACGGTTCGGTCACTCAACACGATGACATAGTGACGAGAGGCCCTAGAAGGCCTTACGTTACAAAAAAGACTCAAAAATAAATATCAAATGATCGTTTAATCATAGAAATTGTACAAAATTATTTATAATTTTCACGCAGTACCCCCGTCTAAGCAGGATATACCTTCTTATAGACTATATACAATGAAAAACCTGATCTCAAAAATATCTCATATTTACAAAAATAGATTTTGGAAGTTGTATGTTTTGTAGAAAAGAGAACAACAAAAATATGTCTTTGATTTGCCTACAAAAAGTAATTTTTTAGAAAAATATTTTAAAGCTTATATAACCTTAACTTTTAAAGAAAGTTTGCTTGCTAGTTTACACTCTAATTGAAGCTTGTACAGGAAAGATCACAAGACTGAACACTACTTGAGCCCGTGAATGCCGCATCCAGCAGTTYACGTGGGGAGTTCACACGTTTAGATCTTGATGGGGTAGGATGGGGACTGTTTTGCGCAAACTGCGAATACGAATGAGTAATGGAGGTCAAAATAAAGTCCTATGTCATGTTGCAATGCATATTAAATGTACACACTTTAGCCAAAAGTCAGTGAGCACCGCAAACCAGTTTGGCCGAGCTGAAAATCTTTGACTGGAAAACCTGGAATCTAGACCGTGGCATCAAAGTCATGTGATCATTCCTAATAAAGTAGCTTACGTTATCAAAAGCGTTTTAGCTTTCGTTTCCTTTATAATATGCAGCAAGCAGTTTAAATAGTTATCTATGTATATTGTATACTAAAAAACCCTTGCAAAACTATCACAACTTCCAACTTCCAACGCAAATRTTMTGAGAATGTTAGTGGTATGTAGAACCAAATAACGAAGATTGCAAAAGTTTTATAAAGGTAAAAGCTCTCAACATAGTGTTACAAAAATCCTTCAAGAAACACTTATTTCCTCATATGTCATTCAAATGAGCAGCCAATCATCGAGCACCTTCACGAAAGCTCCGCCTATTATTCTCGTGATTGACAGATAAATCTCGACGAGAGATTCGGTAAACTTTGAAATTATCGCCTGTGGTAAAAAGGTTATCGTAGAAAATATTTTCACACCGTTTGGAAAAAGTAGAGTAGAGTTTACTGAACCAATGACATTAAGCTTAAGGTTTCTATGTTTTCGCCATGTTTGAGGTTTTGAAGTTCTGATAGCGATGCAAGGGTTATGCTATGACATTTCGGACAATTTGTTATTTTCAAATTACAATTTCTATAAATTATATTAATTCACTCTTTGTACTTCAATAAATAGCTATAGCTACTCAATCATTRTAGATGTACATGGACTATCATAGCTGGTACTGTGGACGAGAGTAGAGAAAAGAGAGAGAGAATCGTGTAATAGAAAGAGAGGAATGAAAGAAAGGATGYAAGATGTAAGCATAGAAAGACAAAAGAAAGAAAATAGACAGGATGGAAGGGAAAACGAAAAAAGAAAGGAAGAACGAGAGAAAGAAAGGCAGACGAGGGTTACCCATAAATCCTTACAACACCAAGTACTCGAACGAAGCAAAACTGTCAGCCTAGGGAAGACGAAAAGCGTCTCAGCCTGACAGCGTCCCTTCATCCTTGACGTCCATTTACAATATATCTTCATCTATTAATCTATATATATACAAGCGAGTATAAGTGTACAAGGATCAGAATAATTCTCAACCTTTGATTCAATCAAACTGGGTTGAATATATTAAAGCTTGGAGGGTTGAAAATTCCACTGGTCATGTGATTACAAGCTAATATGGTGCAAAGACTTCTTCAGTTGACCAACAATAACAGTAACAATATATGAATCGATAGATAGATACGCATGCAATATGTACGCAGGTACAAGTTCCCCTAAAGGTCTCACAAAAGTCTCCAGAAAAAGTACGATTTTAAATCTTTCGCATGACAAATAATAATGGTAAATAGCAAGAGAGCATTTTACTCTGATTTAGAACAATACAAATTTTTAAATTCAGAAAGAAACCTGTCGCTTTTTGGTAAAAAAAACGTATATTTGTCAAGCATTTTATACGACACGTCTTAAGCTCCACACAACTTATGCAACGACCTGTTATTTTCTATTTTGAGTACCTTCGTGAGACCTAAATGAGGATTACTACCAAAGCATCTAATGCTTTGCTCTAAGGAAGAAATGCAGCATTTTACTCTTAGCAATATAGTAAAATTAGCATTCAGTTTGAATTAGTTGAATCAACAACACAATCACTCAACTAACCCTACGACGTTAGCCGTTCATCACGTATACGAGTGAAGAGGTCGRGTYGCAGTCTGGGTAACAATCACGTGATTGTGTGGGTATGGTGACGTCATGATACAGTGCTGATGCATTGCTTCCGGTCCACCTGCCACGTGACCTTGYTTGATGATAGGMGGAGAGATGGGCGCCATTGGTCCGACCGATCCAAACATTTGTGACGTAGGCATGAATACGCAAGARGTGCTACGTAAGTGGTTGTTGTTCCGTAACGTTTCTGGGTCACCTTTGAATTGGACACTGTCCGCGACGCCCGTGGCCGGCCACGCCCCCTGGTAYAACGGCATTGCCCCGTAGAAAGACTCGTCACGGCAATACAGTCCGGGTTTGGACAGCATAAGAGGCACTTCCTCGATGATACGTGGAGTCATACCGTCGTCCTGGACGAAAACGTATCGGTGTTCTTGAGGCGAAGTCTGAGGATGTAATTGTTCAGTAATACTCGGTCGTCTTCTAGGCGGTTCGTTAGTAGTGATGTATGCAGGATACTGAGGTATTCCTTGTCTACGYCGCCATTTCTGGAAATGAGCATCTGGACTCTCGACGGACGTTAGATGAGATATCGTTCTTTCATTGCTCTTGGTCGGGTAATCAAACTCTGGCTGTTTCTCTGCTTTGTAGTAGTCGAAAACTTCACTGTTCGTAATGTTCTTTTCGTGAGCAGYTTCGTCACGATAATCACGRGTCACTTTGGAGTGTGTGACGAGTGAATGCCTGGAGTTTGCATGYAGACGRCCATCTGTTCTTTGGCAAGAGCCTGCAGCCTCGTGCTCCCTTTGGTTATACGAGTGTGGGATTTTAGTGAAAGGAGATGATGACTTATGGTAAGAATACGGTGGTGAYGAATCGCCATCCGTTAAGTCAACGATCTCTTTCGGGCGTGAAGTCAKCGCTTGGTGTCGGTGTTGTTCGTCCGACTTTTCTCTCTCAGCGTGCACAACACTCTCCCGCACATGTCCATTTTCAATTCCACTAATMGTATGAAGAGTAGGCGTTGCGTGACTGGATGAATTTGTACTGCTGTGACGAACGACGTTGCGAGATGTYCTCTCAGCGCTACTGACACTGCGTGACACATCAGGGTGATTACGTGACACATCATAGTGATGTTGAGAAACAGCGTGACATGGACTAGGCGTTCTTCGTCGTTTTGCCAATGGCTCTATCGTGCTYTTCCTTGAAYTATTTTCATTTCTATGGACATTGTCAATATTGGGTTTCTTGCTCGGTTCCGTGTCTTCACCGTGAGATCGTTTCCTGGCCTGAGAGTGGATCAGGTCGTAGGTTTCTGAGATGGTTAAGTACTTGGTGGGTGCCTCGCACGGTTTACGKGGACCTGCCCTCTTGTGTTCCTCTGGAATCGCTTTGTAAGGTGGTTTGTGTGTCGATGMACCTTGTAGGTCACGTYAATTTACTTGCGTTACTTGCTTGGGTGTCACTATCTCAGTCTTTATGGGTTGTTTCTGAGTRACGACGTTTTGCTTTTGTGTCACGAGACTCGGCGCKAGGTAATCTTTTTTCCACAATGCCGTACTGGTTGGGCTTTTGATGCTACTACTTGTCGAGACTACATGATGTGGAGCATGTGTGACACTAGTTTGATCAGGCGCTACACTTGAAGTCACGCTAGTTCTRCGTTGTGTGAGCTGCGGTGTCACGGACGCGACCGACTTGCTCAGTGGAGCAGAAACTGTYGGATTCCTTTGTACAGAACCAGGCAAACTATGAACWGGTGACACCGGAACGTCRACAGACTTGGTCACGATCGTAGCTGGTGTCACGTTATCTTTCTTTGCACTCTGTATACTCACTGAATAAGGTGGAATTGCTCCATTAGGCTTCATCTTAACCACAGTAGTCTTTAAACCATCCCGTGACATATTGCTTGTCACGCTAGGCATTTCTTTGTTATCATGGGGCTCTTTTCTCTGAGCACTTCCAACGCTGTTGACCGTAATGCGTGACACCTTGTCATTGTCAGCTGTAGATTTAATTCTGTTGGGTGCTGGGGTGCTGTTGTTCGTATGGTTTAACTGTTCTCTGGGGACGGTGCTGTCCTGTGACGTCTTTGTAGCCTGAGGAAAGGTGCTTTTCTTGGCATTCAGTTGTCCACGTACAAATCGCTCGTACGGTAGAAGCAATCTATAAATATAAACAAATAAAGTCTTAGTCATGGACAGACCTATTTGGGTCTTATTTCAGACCCCTTTGACAAAAAAAAAAAAAATGCATCTTGAGAAAATAAGCAGCTTGAGAAAATAAGTGAATATAGCTGTCATTAAACAATGAATTCTAGGTTTCGGTATGCTGGAGCTCATGTCCTTTCTAAATATGGCTGCAGCCTTCTTGTTATTTAGCAGTATATGATCTAAGTATTAAAGAATCATAACCACCCGCCGTACCTTGCGAACCGAAGCGCCATTTTAGGTGGACACGAAAATGGCGGATTTGTATAGGATTTCTTAAAGTGAGCGCAAATCGTCTTCCGTCCTTTCAGTTTGGACAGACATACCTTTAACTAAGTACCTCACAGGTACTATCAATCTATAATTTATTGTATGCTTGACGCCTTTAAACGTATGTAAACAATAATACGAGCGCGCAAGGTACGACGGGTGGTTATGATTCTTTAAGGTAGTTCCAGACCCTGTAACCGCGCATCGATACCCACCTTTCATAATGACGTCTTGTGTAKGTAGCTGCACTGGTTATAGTGGTGCTTCCTCCTAACGCGTCGTACACTTGACGCCATAACCTTTTTGTGGTAACCTGTTGATATGGGACAAAATCAATTAGTGACAGAGAGACCGGGAACGCTTACTATAGACGAAAAATTTGTACTTACCATCTCATAGCCACCAAGTTTCTGTGCAGTCTTATACATGGTCCATAAATTGACCCTTTTGAATCCCAAYGCCGGGATCTTGGAGATCGGTGTATCTCTTGATTTCATGAAATCGCGAAGCGATCGCATAAAGAACTTTTCATCTTCATCGACAACGTCCTAAAGAAACAAAAATTTAATGATTAGAATGCCGTGATTTGGATTATGTTTTTCAGGCATCACATTATGTCTTCTATATGTTGGGAATGATGGGGCTTAAATGACGAAATGACATTGAAATGGCTTTCTTGTGACATTAAAATGGTTTTCCGGTTACATTAAAATGGCTTTTTCCGGAACATCCAATTGTGTTCCGGTGACACTGAAGTGGCTTCTCATAACAGTGAAATGGCTTCCCGTGACATCAAAATGGCTTCTAAGGACAATGAAAAGTTTTTCCATGACATGTGAAATTTTATAAAATTTTCCAACAAAAATCCATTAGTACCTCATTAAACTCTTTCATGCTTCCAGGCTGACGAAGTCTTTTCTTTTTAGTCTTATTGCTATCTAGCAGGTTTTCTTTACCCTCCAACTGTCGACTGTCCGCCACTGTTTTACCGTCTGTACCACCCATGGGTTCGACTGCTTTAGTACCATCAGTCTTTGAACCAACTATCGAAGGAACAGTCGAAGTACTCGATGGGTTTCCGACACTTTGTACCACAGTGTACCCTTTTGAAGACAATGGTAACGAAGTTTCTAGATGAGGTTTCGAACTTTCAGGTGCAGAGACCCGCGACTGTATCGTAGTCGACATCTTGATAGAAACCTCGGGACGTTTGGTTATTGGACACAGAGGTGGAGGACCACCGTCGAGTTTTGTCACAAGTGGAACGTCTGTTTTCATCTTGACTTTCTGTAAGGGTGGAGGGGAAGTAACGACTCCTTTTAATTTAGTGGTCGGTATAAGAGGTGGAGGAGCTTTTGCTTTGTCGTTAATCACCATGACGACCTGTTTGATTGACACCGGTAGTAAACCATTGGGTGGCTTGGATTTGTGAATAGGTGTCTCCACGGTGATACGTGGTTGCTCCGCTTCGTCCATGCTTTCTCCTGATTTTCCACTTTCTTCGGACAGATCGGATTCCGTGCCTTCTTCGCTCTCAGAAAGCTTWGGTTTCTTGGTCAGGAGATTGTTCTTGACCTTCTCCAAGTCAGCAAGGAATCTCTTCCGTTTAAGTTCTTTAGCTAACGTTGAGTTTCTTAGTCTCTTTTTTCTTGGTCTTCCCTTGAGAACTGGAGCTGAAATATAAATAGTCTATGTTATATAACTGTCTGGTACACACGCCAATGAATGCTGTCATTCAGGAATACGATATTGTTCAATATAACAGCTAAGAGAGTTTAATATAAAATTGAAACTTGAACGCAGGGGGAAACACTAGCCAGCATGGTTTTCAGCGCGATGCAAACAAAAGCAAAAATTATGGAAAATTTCCCGAGGGACTTTTATTCTTTCATCACCAAAGGATAGCGAATACCAGGTCATAGTACCTGACACCATAAGTGCTCTAGTGTAGCGCATTTGTAAATACAAAACACGCTTCGCGAACATGTTACCCTGGAGGCCTAATGCCAATAYTCCTAGTACATATTGTCAGTCAAGASCGGTTTTTAAATGAGGCTGACCCGAGATCACTTTAATGAACGACAAACGGGGAGAATTTAATAAGTTCAAAAACACACGATATATGACAAGTATGRCACTCATGACAAATAATCCCTTTTCATGRCAGAAGACGCTATAGATGGGTTCATAACAGAGAATGCAAGCACACTACTTCATTGAACGTGGCAGGTCAAGGCTCAAGTCATGATACATACAGAGCGAGCAAAAGGTGTGGATAGCATTGAGGATACTTATGTTTATCTGTCTTCATCTAATTCAAAGTTGTATTATATTTAGCACTTAATTGCATTTTGATTGTATTAACTGATGGGATTAATTCTAGAATTCCCATTATCACTATCATCATAATTATCATCATTTTTATCATCGTCATGATAATTTTAATTGCCATCACTATCATCATCATCTATTGTTATCATGATAATCCCTTTTTTAGTCTATCACAATTTAAGTGTAGGGCAAAGCAATGGTCCTCTAAGCAAACCATTTTCGATAAGTAGTTATGTATATGATCCCTTCCCCCACCTAGTTCACTACAACCGTTCTTCTTGTAGGGGCAGGGTAGGGGTGAATTATTGACCTCACCTTTATTTTCTCCTGAGAGATGAAATTTTTCTACATCTGGACAGCTAAAACACTCTCGGCAAAATACAATCCTTGTTGATTTACTACTGACCATAACACCACCCAGTGCAGTAAGGCGTGACTTGGCTATAGTCATTCCATTCTCAAGTCTTTTTATCAAAGCTTTATATCGACAATAAGCTTGAAATGTCATAATTATAATCTTTTCCACATAGGAGTCTTTATTGCTAGGTAAAGCTTTATTTTGTAGTCTATACTTGTGTTCTGTATTTCCTGTAAATTCATCTATACTGGTTTCCTGTGTTATAGTAAAGTCTGATTCAAGTGGTGGTATCAGCCCTGTTGTCCATTCTGTACCAGTGTATTCCCATTGAACCATGTCCTCACATTTAACAATGACTTTCTGGTCAGCATACAATAACTCATCCTGTATTTCAAACACACAGAAAAATAATTAAAGATAAATATATTTATCATATGATTATCTATTTAATACCTATATTGTGAAAATGACACATTCGATGTTTCTCTATATATTGTAAGTAAAAAAAGTAATTAATTTGCTTTCATACATAATTATATGATAAACAGAATATTACATAGTTGCTTGGAGATACGAAATTTATCTGCTCGCGTTTAAAATCTTGCTACATTCACTCGTGAGAGATATTTTCAACATTCAAAGATAAAATCTGTATCTCTGCGCACCCATGTAACATCCGGTATTTATATACATACAGATAACAAATTATAAGATTTTGAGGTTAAAAATCTAAGTAGTTAAATGACAAAACATTTTAGGATTAACTCCTAGCATTATAAATGTTATCTTGTAACACCTTGTGATGTTTCAACCATTTCGAGTCAATTGTTTGGTTTCACAACATGTCATTTCCTGCCCCATGTGGAATTTTGATCAGCTGGATTTCAAGTTTTTGAAAGGAATTCTTACTGGCTGGTTTCAAATGGTGGTCAACTTTTGACCAATGTCTGGGAATGATAACGAGATTCATGWTATTTAAACAGCTGAGTAGAATCCAGCAACTGAGATTTTTTGTTCTCGTTTTTAATGGAGGAGCTCAGCAAAGCTTGAACATAATAAACAAACTGTTGAAATCATTGAAAGTTTTTTTTTTACTTTTGATAATATGTTATCTTAACCTAAAAAGATTCTTTTGAGAGTAGTACTTAAGTTGTAAAGTTTGTAAGTTCTTTTAAGTCAGAATTTAATGCATTTTGTAGACTATTTGGATAATAAATATTGTACTATAACAATTGTTTTTTTTTGGCAAAGAGGAAGTTGCATCTTTATTGCCATTAGCTGTTAAATAATGCATAACAACCACTGACTTCAATAATCACTATATGACCACAAAATGACTGCCTAAAGCAAATTTAGTGGTTTAGTATCTGTATTAAGGTATTTTGAAATATTGGAATATTAACAAAACCAGTCAATAACAAAAAGTTTATTGAAGTGTGTTAAGATGAATCATAGAGTCTTTGATTACCAGAAGCCTTTCATAGCAAGAGGGTGTTGGTAAACAATACCTGATACACAGAAATATCAACTGATACGTGACAGGAATAATAACAATATAATCAACATAATTTAAGCATGCATCGAGAACATACTATCATGCGATATCATGTTTAAAGCAAGCAATAATATTTCATTATATTTTTTATTATCTAAGGAAAAAAAAAGAATTACAGAATTTCTGAACAAATGTATTCAACTTAGCTGTCATTTATATTTTAAAACTATTGATTTATTAGGGATAACATTCAAAATAACACAATTAAAATGATAACAAAAGTTTTTATGTTTTATAGTTGATCTTTGTTGATCAGATAGCTAGAGCTATTAAGGAGTGGCGCACTCATCGTCTATTTAGCGACATGTTAATTTTGCATTAAATTAATACAGATATAAAAAATAACCAACACTTTCAAAATCAAAGAAACAAAACAAAAACTCGATGCACTGTTAAAGGTTTACATTTTAGTCACAAAAAGCATTTAGTCTGTGATTTAGATAAGCTTCATTTAGTTGGTTTTTGTTCCCTATTATAGATGGCGGTAAAAGTAATGTATTCAGTACTTAATATAGATGTGACAAGGTACACTCAACAACACCTGCCACTAATTGATACAAAACAAAACTGTTTGTCCAAAGTTGAAACAATACCTACCAAACATTATTTCTTCTATGGCAAATTAAAAACATCATTACAAAACTTAAACAAGTGCAACATCATAATATTATGTTATTTTCTTTTTGTGCTTTCATCAAGCCATTATGGAATTATATTGAGTTCTTTTGATTTTTGGTTCAGTAACTCCTTTGTTCCTGCTAGTAATAAAATTAGTTTGAATTTCATTTTGTATCTTGTTTTGTTATTACACAGCAAAAGAACTCAAATCATGAATTACCACATAAAGAAAAGAAAATTTGAAAAAACATTTTTATAGTATTTTTCTGTAAAAAAAWAATAATAATAATCACACTACTCAGATAATAATGAAAATCATAAATTATGAATTTGCGAGGAGTTGTTATTTTTGACAACGCTTTCAAAAACACTTCTCAAGCCTTTGCAGCTGCTCGGCTTATAAAAGCTTTTAAATAGGTTTTCCAGATTGTTTTGTATGTAATGATAAATTAAAATTTAAAAATGCTCATAATGTATTTCATATATTCATTCAGACACATAAATATAAAGTGCAAAATATTTAGACGTTTTTATAGTTTAAGAAATGCTTTCTTTTAAAGTTTTATTCTCTGATTTTATCAAAAGATTATGGAGTTATACGTATAATGAAATATCAAGTGTTCTCATGTTAATATTTAGACAATACAGGCAAAATGAATCACAACAAAGAAGAACGAAAATTTATATCACTAAAGTTGGTATAAAAGGGTAGAATTTTTGACTCCTAAACAGAGACATTATGAATAAAATCATATGACAACACTGAAAACTTATACCAAAATGAGATTTCTCTTTAGATAAAGAATATTGAGTTTTTAAGTATCTGTAAGTGCACGTGTTTAGAGCTCAACACTATCAAAACAGAGAACAAAAGGCCAGTTTCTTGGCATATAATACCATGAGTTTCAKATGAATTAGATCATGAAAATTTATTATATTTTTGAAAGTGTAAACTTGATTGAAATCTAATATGTTGTGTCAAGCTAAGATATTTCAAGATGTTATGATAATTTATTCTTTTAAGACTGCAAAGATAAACTAAATTTTGTATCTGTGAGCAAATACAGTCAGTGTTAATCCCACCAAGTTGTCACTTGTAATAAGTTTGCCTATGAATAATTGCTAAGAAAAAATCTCATGTAAAAATCTATAAACCACTTTTTATATAATATTATTGTAAAGGAACATACGCTAGTCTGTATGTCTCTATTCTAAACAAAGCAGCTCTTGACGGTTATAAAACTGTAAGATGATTTGATGGCAATAAATCTTCTTGCCCAAATTCAATGCTAATGGTGATTATTAAACATTACACAGTTTTAAATGCTATGGAAACTACTGCTTTTATAATAGTTTTTAACAGATTGGTGGAAATGAAAGTCGATCTCAATTAATATTTATATAGGTTATAAGTACATGTAAAATAATAGCAAGATGAAGTGTGTTCAGACACAGAAACATAAGATAAAGAGAAATTATCTGACTTGAACGGTTTTCCATTGAGTGCTAAATAAAACATTTTTAATTTATAAAAAAAAAGATTGATAATTAAAAAATATGTTTTGATCTTTCTGGAGTCAAAACAGTGTCATTATATAGACTCTATAATTCATTAGATAATACTGTACTTTATCAGCAATACAAAATGATCTGTTTCTAAAATTAYGAGATAATATTTACAACTATAATAGTTGCTGAAAGAGTTTCATCAAGAATGTTACAAATATTTAAGGTTTTTTAACAGAGCTGAAATTTAGATGTATTTACTGGGTCTATAGCTGAATTGACCTTGGCGCTGCTGCCATCACGGGACTCAATATCAATAACACTTTTGATGAAAAAACAATACTTTATTGTAGTTTTGTTTGAGTTAATCTTTTAAGAATTGTAAGCTTTTAAAAAAATGACTTTGAAATCTAAATTGTACTTCAATAATCCTCARACAGTTCATGGACCTGAATGCAAATTTAATGTATTTTGTCATCTGCAATTAGACCCTCAATGATATCAATGCTTTGAGCACAAATAATTATACAAAGCTGCTTGCTTCTCAGAATGAAACTCAATTAAATCAAATAATTAAAAAATATCACACAKAAAAAAATAAATCGATTGATTTATATGAAAAGCCATTTATACCCCCAAAAATAGAGCTTAACATATTTGGAATGTGGGTTAATTTTGTTTAAAAAAATGTCACTCAGGAGTTGGCCAACATGGTCAAGTTTATTGATGCGAATCTGGTAACATGAGGTTTGAAATTATTACAAGAGAACACCTGGTTTTATGCAGAGAATAATATTGAACCTTGAGCTGCTCAGCAGAGGATGCAGCTATGAATATTCATGACTAAAATACAAGACAAACAATATTATATCAAAAATATTATTGCTCAAAATTTATGAAGAAAAAAAAGGGGTTAATAACAGAGAAGATATTGCCAAAATGTACACAAAGTTTGATAGCTCCAGGACATCAGTACAAATTGCATAGTTTTATGTGAGTAAAAATAAAGCCACATGCTTGAATTGGGCTTATGCTTGGGTGATTATCCTAAGGAAATATAAGACAAAATACCTGACTGTGTCACATTATGCAATGACAGACGTGTGACTCTTAGAGATTTAGTCCTCGCACAACATTATCATTGTGTAATATAACAAAACTCTTTTTTTTTTTATTCACATGGCATTTTATACYGTATTAAAAAAGCTCTTTATGATATTTATATTTTGGAAATCTATGAYATCAAAGAGTGTCCATAGATTGTAATCCAAGTGATTATCTAACCTTTTGTTAATAGCAGATGGCTTGTATAAAAGGTTAATTTTTCGTACATGAATCAGGGAAAAAACGCCATCTAATTTTATATATTYATCAATTTTCTAAATGAAGTGAGAATTCAATAAAAGAGGGTTGTGTGAACAGTGCTTCACGCGCAGATGGCAATGTAGATAATGTTTTCAAAATTAAACGCTCCATATTGTCCCCTTAATACAAACATATTTAGAATATTTTTATTGCTAAAATACACGAGAATCACACGATCTTGATTATAGAGTATGACTTCAATTTTTACGATTAATTTTTTCAGATACGGTGGTTAAAAAAAATTCGTGGAGTGATCGACAAACTTCGTCTATGAATTGAATGCCCTTGGGAACTCGATATCTGGATTTAGATCTCATAGCTAATGAAAATTGTCCAAGCGCACGCTTTTCACTTAAAATGACACATACAAAAAATCTATACTAAAATTTTAATTGGGTATTAATTATAAAAAACGTGTAAAAATCCAGTTTTTTTCAATTATTGTGCGAAGTTTACACAGCACGAGTGATGTGCAAAGTTTTGAAGAATTAAATTATAAATAGCTCTATGAAATCTAAACCCGACAAATGTTAAATATTGAAACCTTTTTAACACCAAATCGTTTTACGTACAGCTCAAAATACAATGTTAATAGATTTGCTATTTCGTATTTTAGTCGTCAATGCGATTGATATTTCTATAACAATACTAAAACGCAAATGTAATGTAGTCTGTTAATTAGTCCAAAGACCATGCGGTAATTTGTTGACCCTCGCTGATCATGTCTTCTAATTCTGGTCTTGATTTCTTTGAAATCAATTCAAACGCACTGAAATTAACGCACTTCAAAATTGAAATGAACACGGAGTGAATTTCTTCACGAAAATTCCGAAAAAAAAGTAACTGCTAAAAACGAGGTCGAGTGAGTGAAGTAGAAGGACATTTGTATTCAAATCTATTATTCTATTGTCACATCAGTTATTGTTAGTGGCATGCATCTGTTTATCAAGCAACGTGCCTCGTCGCTTCTCTGCGCGTTTCGCATGATGGGTTCATAAACCGATTTTTGATGCATCCAAAACGTGGTTACAGAAATAAGCGCAATGCACCGTAACTATGAAAAAAATAGGAAATGACGATTTTAATTTTACAAACCGGAAAGGTTTCTTTATGTTCAGGCCGGTGGTTGATTGTATGTCTTTACTATTGCGGTGTTTATGCTAGAAGAAAAAAAACCGCTCGAAAATTACTAAAAACGGCCACCTTTTGTGCATATCAATTAAGAGTTTGTTTTGCGACTTGTAAATAGTTGGAGCTTAAACAAAATGCAATTACCACCGAATGTTAAATCGAGATGAAGTTTTTAATCAATTGAGGTAATATAATTAGTGCAATAAAATTCCGTTTTTTGAATCAAATTTTGTTTATTAATATGACCTCGGAGACGATACAAAATTATGAAGAGTGATTAACATAAAACGGGCGACGAATCAAAATGATAAGACCTTCCAAATCTCTCCAAATCGATCAAATCTTGTCTAAAATTAAACAGAATACTCTGGTAATACCAACTTTACATATAACGTAATTTAATAAAGCTAAAATCAAGCATAAAATCTCGTATAAATAGTCGGCTAAATGCGCCAAGCACCACATGGATATTTTGTCACTTCCGTACAACGCGTTGGAAAAACAATGGCCTCGAAATCGCTAGTTCACGAAGTTCAGATCTATTTTTACCGGCACTGAATTTCTTAAAAKCTACCCTTTTARATCTGCGCATTAAACACATTTTAATTTACTATAAATGATGCTATTTTCTATAAAAAACTATCGATGAAATTTGGTCTCGTATCAGTGAACCACAACGAAAAGTGTGGCTTATTTTTACATAGATACATTAACTTAGAATAAATAATGTTTATGACTACTGTGATTTGCCCGGGATTACCGTTAAATGCTYCCAAGGTTCTGAAATTCTGTCAAATTAAACATAGAATTTCTGTAACCCATAGGATACCAAATTAAAATTTAAACCTATTTTGTACAAGCGATTTCCGAAATCAACACGCTGCCAGAGCAAAATAATATTTTCAACAAACAATTTTCGTTTGATGATAAATTTGTTAACAAGCCTTAATTTGAGGCCCTTAAGAGAAGCCCAGTTCGTCTTAAAATAAACTATACAAATATATTTATATTTTTGTTTAAAAAATTACCTCTCCGTGAATAGATAGTCGGCCAAACGGAGTATTTTCGGGCTTGAAATACAATCTCGCGGAAGCGAGTTTACTATCAGTGCCTGCGTCGTGCCATATGAGTTGAAGTTCTGCTATACAGATCGGTTTATCTTCTGAATTTCTGACAAAATAGAACTCTCCTAGGCAATAGCTTTTTTCTGCTCCTCGGGAATTTATTCTAAATCCTTTGTAGAATGTATAGGAGCCATGCCGTCCACAACTCGAGCCGATCCACTAGAAATACAAATCAATAATTTAAAGTCAGTTAGGCGGTAATTCTGTCATGGTATGCTTTTACGCGAATTAAATAAAAAGTGCTCTAAATAAGCTCCTTTGAGCTCGATATCTTCGTTAAAATTACTACAGTTTCTTTAGAAAATATTGCCATTTAAGGGGATTATTTGTGGGGTTTAGAGATGTTAAAAATAAGAAAAATACCTGTACTTCTGAAGCGCTCATTGTGCTGGAGTTTATCCTTCAAAATCCACACATTGCATCGAAATGAGTTTTGGAAAACCACGTGATCAAAAACGATAAAACGTCATCGTCAGCGAACACATTTTTGCCATGCAGTTTTGAAAAATAAATTAATTCAGRCGAATTTAGCGTCAATTTTCTCCGATAACATTCACGCTAGCAATACAAACTGCTTTGATATCTATAATTTCGCTTTCTAATTCACTTGGTAATTCATTTGAGACTTGACACAAATGTACGAGTGGGTCATTTCCTCCCCACCCCCTCCCCCACATCCGCTTAATATTAAACGAATTTTCAGATGTTTATAATGAAATAAGGATTTCTAGATAAAGAAAACATCACGTAAAGGTTTAGAATTAAAAAGAATAATATATTCTCATGATATCAGCCTTTTTTGAAACGAAAACATAACGAAATTGAAACTATTATTGCTTTTCAACATCCAAAGCCTGTGATCTAATAAATAACACAAAGAAAAATATAAATAACGCTTAAAATAAATACAATCGTTAATTCATATAGTAGATGAAATAAAAGCGATAAGGAACGGCCAATTTTTATAGTGTTTTTATTCAAAAAATTTTCCTATRTATAATTTCTAAAAAAAATAACTTTTAGCTACATTTCTATAGCATTTTAAGTACCAGATATTTAAGAGAGCATAAAAAATTCATTATTTCCAATAATGTGACAAAAACATTTACATTTCATTGCTATAAATGGAAACTATAAATATTATTTTTCAAAGATGAAGGAATTAAATTGACAATATTCGAAACATCTATTTATTTCTCGTGGCTTAAAAACGTCAAAAAAATAAAGCGCTCAATTTTTGACAAATATAAATTACTTCTGAATCGTGTTACATCTACCACAAGAAATTAAGCTTTAAAGCAATGGGSACATGAAAACAGCACGATAAAATATATGCCAAATTCAAACAAATCACTTATTAATTCGTATTTTTTTTTCTTCCGCGGTTCAAATATTGATATTTTAGCTGTTTTAGAAAGGAAATCAAAACGGAATTTGACACGAAAAAATGTTGGATTTCATGCTATTTGTTTTAAAAAAAAATTGGCATGTTATTATATTTTCAATTTTGTCACACTAAACAACTGGTAGCATTACTATATTTTTTGAACAAATGTGTCATTATGGTAATTCAACCAGGATTTTATTTTTCTTACAAAAATAATTTTACATTTTCTTTATATATTTCAGCAAAAATACCCACCATTTTCAAAAGCTTTACAATTCATTACCACAAGATTATGATATTTTCTTCTATATCCTACCAATTCTAGAAATTTCCTAATTAATAAATAATTCAACAAAGTAATAAACAAAAGTGAAATCTAAAAAAAATCTAGTCAYTTTTCAATAATAAAGCTCAAAARGACATATTTTTTCACAAAAGAAAAAAWTTATATACACACCAWAGATATCTTTTGGTGTGTAATTRATGGGGATTAAATTGCAGGAACTTRRAAATAAATTTTAACKTTTTTAATATATTCAATTCAATGTTACTGCTATTATTCAAAAAATGTCAGTTTGTCTGAATGAAAATAGCTCTTATCCCAATTAAAACATTTATAGAACACAAAATACCTAAAAAAAATAAAATACAATTCATCATAGAATATTGCARGAAAAAAAACATATTTCACTACTTGACAGTTTTAGGTCTATAAAATATTTAATGGCCATAACAGCCAAAATATAATTGAATTTCATATCAATCTGTATTTTTCAATGTAAAATATATGAAAGTAAAATTTTTTGGGGGAATTTTTTTAAGATAATAAAAAAACACAGAAACATAATATTTCATTGTATGACAAAGATTTCTATCAATCAACATGGGCTAAATATAATCTGAGAAAAAATGTGGATAAAATTTATTATTTCTAAATAAAATCATCTGTCTTTCAATGTTTATCTAATTCAAATATTCTTTTGATTTCCAGCTCAAAAAATTACTTTCTGCTTCATGGAAAGAAAAAAAAGACAAAAAAAAAATCTAAAAATAAATTTTAAGAATAAATACTTATAAGAGGATATATACAATATGTGCTTTTCCCACAAATGAAACAGGTTTTCAGGTTTGGAATTTATTAATATTATGATAAGAATTAAACATAAACATAAAAACAAAGAAAAGAAACGAAAACTGGATKAAAGCCAGAAAAGCCTTATTTTTCACATGATTGAAATTACTGACAATTTTGTATATTTTTAGCCTTTCATTTATAATAATAGCACAACACAGTGAATTAACAAGGAAAAATTATATATTGGATTATGAATACTCAGCCAGAAAAGAGTATGAACTGAATTTCAATTTTGKACAATTAAGATTCATCATCATTAAAAATAGCTGCTGTTGCTTAAAACATATATATCTTATATTAAAAAAGCACAGAAAAATATTTTAAATGAGATTAATAGTCTCTTCAAAGTATTATCTTCWCATGGTTTTAAATGATTTTTGATATATTGTACATTTTTAGAAAAAAAAGAGGAAAGATTTTCAAATAAATATTAATTGGATTATCAATACAGTCAAAGAAAAAACTAAAAATATTATGTATATATATTTTTTTTTACATGAAGAAATTCAGTTTTATCTATTTTTAAGATAACTATATTGCTTTGCCTACAAAAAAAACAACAAATCCCTCATTGAATTGTATTATATTGCATGACTTACACGAAATTGTAATTATTATGAATATATGTCTCAATGAAGGGAAAATATCTTGAATGTATTCATTTTATCGCTGTGGTAACATAAAGAATTCATTATTTCAAAACCAAAACAACAAAAATAAGAAAGATATGCCAAATCTTAATCAATTAGACAACACAATCATATAAAGAAAATGTAGTGTTTTTATGTTAGAAGGGTTGAAATATTTTGAATTTTATCCTACAATTGAACAACAAAGGAAATGCTGTATTAAAAATACTTATGACGACAAATTAGATTGAAAACATACATAACATGTAAGCAATATATTTTGGCTTCCCTGCAAATAATTGATATGTTATAATTATATATTATAATTTAAGTTGAATTCARTTTCGAAAAACATGAACAGTATATAGAAAGAAAACAATTTATAATCATAATTTTAAATTCTGGTATCAAAATGAGCTTTGAATTTATGTGATTTAATCAAATTGGAAAGTTTTAACAAAAGAAATATGAATTTCAGCTTGAGTGACAATTGAGAGAAAATTATATTTTATATATATGAAAAAAAAAAAATAATAATAATTTTTGACAACCATAAAGTTATGAATATTATTAATAACAATCAATAAAAATTAAGGACATTTCTAAATATTCATATAAGATATGTTAATCTTAATATTCAATGATAAATGGATCCAAAGAATATTCAATACTGATGTCAAGGGATACTTAAAAATAAGTTCAATTTTAGGAATATATTTTTTTTAATGTCACCAAAAAAATATAATTTGAGCTAAACAAAGCTGAATGGAGCCAAAAAAGAGCAGAGAACAATATACTTCCAGAAAGAAAGAAAAACCACATAAAGTTTTCATTTATTAATGAGCAAATGGCACAGGAAATGTAAGGAAATAAGGCAAATAGGGGAGCAAATTAATATTTTACAAAAACAATCCAAAACAGCCATAATAAATAAGGAAATATTTAATAGGGATATTTTCAAAAATCAATTTTGTGAACAACAAAAATTAAACTTTCTTTAAAATAAAGAATACTCAATAAAATAAGATAATAAAATTACTTAAATTCGGTAAAWATACAGGCCACTTAGCCTCATTGCACTTAGCTTCTTCTTGTACATGAAAGCATAAAAAAGAGAGAGTTAACATGTATCAATAGATAGAAGGCAGATAAGCCTAARTGAATATACATCAATGATTAATTCATGAGTGCAAAAATCACATTGCCATGCAATTAGGTGCAAATAAATATATAAAAAATACAAACTTGATTAATATAAACTAAAGAGAAAGAAATATTAAGTCTCTGAAGCTGAACAATTTTTTTTATTTTTCCAACAATACTTTGCTATTAGGAGTCAGTCAATAATATTTAAACAAATTTTGCAGAGAAGAAAAATAATACTTTTATTGCAATTGGGGGTGTTTTTAGAATAAAGTGTTCCCTAAATTATACAGGATATTAATCTAATACTGTAAAAACAAAGCTAGATGAGTTAATAAAAGCCAGCGTTTATGTCATTTATTAATACAAAGCCCGGGGGGGTACTCGACCACGTTTTGGATAGGTACGTGCCCCCAGCYGTCTAAATCCCTGACCCTGTTTAAGACACTAAAAAGTAAAAATCCATACCCTGTTCAAGACAAATCGGAAAAATAAGGAATAGCCGCAACCATCAAAACTGCAAATATACTGACATCCATCAAAGACAATAAGAAGTTTTTGATAACACATTAATTCTGGGACAATGAAACGGTATTTCTACTATTTCTACGGTGTTATGAAAATATTACCCTGTCTAAGACAAAAAATAATCATATCAGTCTCTTTTATCTAAATTGTAGAGCCTGTTTAAGACAATTTCGGGTGAAATGTATACCCTGTTTAAGACAGCAAGGCCAAAAACCATACCCTGGCCATACCCATACCCATACCATACCCCGTATAGCAAATATATAGGAGTACCCCCCCCCCCCCCCCGGGATACAAAGTAAGATCCTATATTTAGACAAAAGCTTTGATCTGAAATCATTAAAAGTCTATATACAGTATGAAGAATAAAAAAAGTTAATACAAAAATAATAATACAAAACAATGTAAAATAAGAAATATAAGAACAAAAACCTTAAATTTGAAATTGTATTAAATTTGGTTTGAAGTTCAATCTATAATAATTCATTAAGTGCAAATAAAAAATACAAACATTTTAGGATGTCGCTACGTTATAGTGTATCATCCTACACACACTCCAAACATGAAATAATTACATGTAGCATATTGTCAAAACAACACATTTTCTAAAGTTAACTTGAGCTAAAATAAAAATATTTTATAAACAGTTTTGATATMGCCCTGAAGTACTGTGGCTTTTTAGGACTGACTTACTTTAAACATCTTTTAAGTCGTTTTTGGTCTTCACTGATGGGAATAAATGTATAAATAAAAAAAAAAACAATG